TTCAATCATTACTATTTTTTTTCTCTTTTCGTTTTGTCTAATTTTTTTAAGATTGGAAAATCTTGAAAAATTGTTAAGTCGTACGAAAATAATATCACAAAAGAAGTGCATCCCTTGCCTAAACCAACATTTAAACCAGTGAACTGTAGTGGACAAAATTTGACAATAACATCAACCGCTAAGAAAAATCCAGTTTTATTGAAAAGATATTGGATGACCATGTTTCAGTTTTTACCAAGCAGCTTCAACATTCTTTAAACCCTACCCCCTTAGATATTCATCTACCACAATTTTTCTCAACTGCACAGGCCGGATATTATAGATGTATAAATTAAATCAATGACTGGAAATTTAATATCATGCAATGTACAATTTAACTTTTTTAAAATTGTGACGTGGCTTTTTAAAAACCTTATGGTCCGCTGAATAACAGCATCTGCTTTTGTCATTTGCTCGAGTCATTTCGCTATCATTGCGTCCTTGAAAAATACAATATCCAGCAGTTCATGGTCTACATGTATTTGTCAATATATAAACAATAGTGGTCGTACATTGTCATTATTATCATTGTAGTGTGTGGCTCAGAAAATTTCCTTAAATGTACTTAGGAATACCGATATTCAGAGTTAACTGGTTTAGTAAGTCCTCAATCCAATACTGCAACTGAACGCAAGGACTTTGACGTCCGCCAGTCAGTATGTTATCTTTACTCAGTAAAATCTCCTAATTGTCGTTCAAAAATCCATTTTAATCCTTATCAGTTCGTTTCTTCATTTCTTTTCTGATAAACTTACTGTTGGTATATTATAATAGTGAATGCAGAGTGATCTTATTCGATGCGATGCTGATATGACCTTGACACCCATTTAGTCGAGAACACAAAGCTACCCTTTAGCAAAATGTGTGCGCATTTATAATGCAGAATTATCACTTCTTATTTGCAATTCAAAATTATCCGATTACTGGAATTTTTTCCTTTATTTTTTTTCAAACGTTTTGTAGACTATACGGAAGGGTGGACGATTCCGGTATTAAGATAAGCGTCCCATCCGCTCTATTTGCACCGCCTTGTTAGCAAATTAATTAGCAGCCGCAGATTTGTGTCAATGTTTTGACTTATCTGATAGTCCGAGTTCATTGGGTGTCGTAGTATTAGAAGACGATCTTGTCACATATCTCAATGCCAGAAACAGGTCTAATTGTCGTAATAGGTGCTAAAAAGTTGATAAGGATATTTTAAAGAAATATTTTTTCATCCCATTTAATTTTGATTAAAAAATCAATCAGAGGATTCACATTTTAATTCCAAGGGCGAATGATACTTCTTTAACCCTTTCTCCTTAAACAAAGAAAAACGCCTACATGTACATGCATGGGTAATATTTGAAGAGAAATGCCCAAAGCTCTTAAATGATTTTTCAAAGATTTTGTAAAATATCGTTAAGTTTTCGCGATCAAGGCCACAGAATGAACGTAAGTTTAATAGCGATGTATCATCAATTTCATAACATATCTTCTTCAAAATGACAGAATTATTCATACATAAATGGTATATAACATTTTTTAAATAGGCTTTCTGCCCTTGGGAACAAGTTTTGAATACATTTTGTGTAGTGTTAGAAAATAAAACAAATGCTAAAAATTAACCCAGAAAAAGGAGTTTTACTGTTACATATGAAAATTGGACCATTTCCTTGCGAGCTTGTGAAAGACGACCAATTAGATTATTCTTTTGGGTCAGTATATTAGATGGCCAATTGTTTCTGCTAGTCTTTTAAGTATCATCAGGGATGCTATAATTGTATGGAATAGTACTATTATATTTATTTTTTTAGAAGATCTATTACTGAAATTGATGCCATAAACAACATATCTTAATTGGGTCAATGATTGTTATCAGAAGAAAAACCACTGGCTTCTGAAAAAGTCTGTTAAATCAACAAAGATTTGAAGTATCCACTCGTCTCCAAAGAAAAAAAAACAACAGGAAATATCAATAAAGCGTCTGGACAGTAGAGATTGATTGACCTTCGCATATCACCATGGCAACGGACCCAACAACACAATCGTACAGTTACCGATGAAGAGTAAACAAGGACAAACTCTTGTCCTGCGATGAATGTGAAATATAATAATTATGTCGAAGTGGTCTTCAAATGTTATGATCAACACTTACCGCAGGGTTATACATGTATGAATCACTGAAAGTTATCATTACGTCTTCATAAAACTCTGATACTCTTAATCAATATATTAGGGCATTAAGCATGGCCGATATGATTTATATGTATAACCGAAATTCTAGGAATTTTGCTCTTACAGTGTATAGGTCCCACAGAACGTAGACACAAAGTTCTGTCCAAATTAGGCTAAATTATGGATTCAAGCATATACTAGTATCATATTTAAGTGATCATTTCTTTTCGAATATCAATCAACATGTTAAGTTCGTCTGTAAATGCATGTTTTTATATAGGTGTGCATTAAAACATCTTGCAACTGTGTACATTATAGGTTAATACGTGAATACATCGTGCTATGTGTTTACATTATGTATGTACATTAGGTTTACATTAAGTCAACTTGCTATGTGTGTACAGTAGATTTCCATAAAGACACATTGCTATTTTTGTACATTAGGTTTACATTAAGACATCTTGCTACATGTATGTGTGTACATTAGATTTACATTTAGACATCTTGCTATGTGTGAACATTTGGTTTACATTAAGACATCTTGCTATGTGTGTGCATTTGGTTTACAATAAGACATCTTGCTATGTGTGTACATTAGGTTTACATTAAGACGCCTTGCTATGTGTGTACATTTGGTTTACATTAAGACATCTTGCTATGTGTGTACATTAGGTTTACATTAAGACACCTTGCTATGTGTGTACATTCGGTTTACATTTTGACATCTTGTTATTTGTGTACATTAGGTTTACATTAAGACATCTTGCTATGTGTATACATTAGGTTTACATTAAGACATCTTGCTATGTGTTTACATTAAGTTTACATTAAGGTATCTTGCTACTAGTATGTGTGTACATTAGGTTTACATTAAGACATCTTGCTATGTTTGTACATTAGGTCTACATTAAGACATCTTGCTATGTGTATACATTAGGTTTACATTAAGACATCTTGCTATGTGTTTACATTAGGTTTACATTAAGACATCTTGCTATGTGTGTACATTAGGTTTACATTAAGACACCTTGCTATGTGTGTACATTAGGTTTACATTAAGACATCTTGCTATGTGTTTACATTAAATTTACATTAAGATATCTTGCTACTTGTGTACATTAGGTTTACATAAAAACATCTTGCTAGCTAGGGTTTACATTAGGTTTACATTAAGATATCTTGTGTATGCATTAGGTTTACACTAAGACATCATGCTATGTGTTTACATTAGGTTTACATTAAGACACCTTGCTATGTGTGTACAATAAGTTTACATTATGACACCTTGTTATGTGTACATTAAGTTTACATTAAGACACCTTGCTATGTGCGTACATTAGGCTTACGTTATGACAACTTGCTATGTGCGTACATTAGGTTTACATTAAGACATCTAGCTATGTGTGAATATTAGGTTTGCATTAAGACATCTTGCTATGTGCGTACATTAGGTTTACATTAAGACACCTTGCTATGTACGTACATTAGGTTTACATTATGACAACTTGCTATGTGCGTACATTAGGTTTACATTAAGACATCTAGCTATGTGTGAATATTAGGTTTATATGAAGACATCTTGTTTTTTGTGTACATTAGGTTTATATTAAGATATCTTGCTAAATTTGTACATAAGACACCTTGCAATGCGTGTACACTTTGCTATGTGTGAGACACTTTGCTGTGTGTGTTTATTAGGTTTACATTAAGACACATTTCTATGTGTTTACATTTGGTTTAAAGGAACTTCAGAATCTATAATGGTCATTCACTCTTATTTACGATATATATATTAGATTAATTAATACAAGCTACATTGTAAGTCTAAAATATACAATTTACAGGATTTGCATTAAGAATTTTTTGTATTGGCTTAGTACTTTTGTCCTGTGCAGATTTAACACATTTTAAAGATATTTTTAAATGTATGTGTACATTTCGGAAGGCATGGTTTAAAAAACTTGTCAAAAAACCCTTAAATCTGAGAACCTCCGCAGGCTTTGTTCCTTGTGTCATCCTCCAGGTCTCAAATGCCTTTCAAGAATCCTGTCTTAGATCCGCCACTGGTTGAAAAAGTAAAGATCTCCACAGAGGTGATCAACAGCCGGGCTAAGTTCGATAACTCCAAAAAAACTGTTGCCAAAATCCTATTTTAATTTAGTAGATAATTCGGAAAAATATTTGAAACAAAATGTTTAATCTTAAAAAATGTAAATTTAAAATAAAGTGAGTATAAAGTTATTGTAAATGATATATACATGGTTTTAAATGGCACAATGTTCAATTAACTAATTATTCTGCACTTTAGAATCACGTCCTTTGCCTTTAGATACAATTTGGTTTAAAGTTATGGGGTAGTTCACCGGTGCGTTTTACTGAATAGTATTACATACGGTAATCCGATGGCTGTTTTGTGTCCAAGTAGTCTAAGTTTTAATCTATTGGTATGTGCGATTTTATTAATCTTTTTAAACTTTCTACGTTAAATTTTCTACAGTCGAGTGTAAAGGGAGTTTTCAGAAATATTAAACATTTTCTTTTTGTACATTTGAATCAACAAAACGTAAAACTGATAATTGCAATTTTGAGAAAAAAAAAATTGAAAATACGATGCACATTTTGAATCTGAAAAGCACGCGTTAAGGTATTGTTTATTAAATGAGAGTCCTTCAAGGAGCCCCTTTTGGATTAGTGAATTGAACAGAAACATTTTAAAGGATTTTAATCTTGTGTATTGAAGACTTCGTTACACAGTCAAAATATATGAACTTCGTAAACAAAAAAATTGGAACAGAAACGAAAAATATGCGTCACTGTGGAAAAAGCAAGCGACTGCACAAGAACTTAATTAGATTTGCACCAGGAAAGCATCCGTACCCCAAATGTTAAAACCAGGTAAACTCAACATGCTCCATACCTCGCTAGAGGTTCTAGCGAAACAAAATAAACTCAGGCCTCGGACCCAGCAGTCCCAGAGACACGAAGGAATTCCTATACTTCGGAAACGAGAACCCTTAAAAGCAGTCAGGACTCCCTTCACGAGTGAGGCATTTAACCCGTGGCCAGAAGAGGAGGAAAATCGACCAGAAACACCTTTTGTGAAAACTAGGCTTCAGAGGCAATTGCTGGGTAGCGGTGGCAGCCGGAGCAATGTCCCAAGTGAGACGGCGGATTTGTTCGGGAATAATGGCATGTACAGGAGACAGATTGGGCTGGAGTCGCCCACCCTGATATTGAGGTCCTCGGGGCGAACAAGCAGCCGAGGAAAGAATAGATGTGGTACTCCTGTTCCATTTGGTCAACCGTTAACAAAACTGTGCTGGAATAATGCAATTGGTAAAATATTACTATTCTATTATATAGCTAATAAATTGTCTATAATAAAATACAACCAATAAATCTAGAGAATTTTAGCATTCAATATCTTGACGTTTTATTGAAAAAGTTTTTTTACGTATACTTATTTTCTTGTATGCCCGAAACATTCCGAATACGAGCGTTTAACTTTATGTAACAGAATTAGAACTTGCTAGTAATTATAAAAACTTGATAAAAAAAATAATTTTATTTTCGTTATTTTTTCCCGCAATCATTAATAATATCAATAGCTTATAATTAATTCTACAATTGTGCAAAGAAACCATATTGTTCACCTATATTGTATAGAAATAAGGAAACAAAAATTACAGAAACTATGACGAAATCTTGAAAGTTGGGTGTTATTGCAAACGTATTACATTTGGGGATGTATACTATTTAGCAATTTTGGCGGAAAGCAGAGTCCGCTAACTCAAGTACATCGCTAAATTGTCTTGTATATCATACATTTATATTTATTTAGCACATTCAGATGGCGCTAATTCAAATCAACGCTAAATTGTGGAAAAATAAATTTCCGCCAAATAACGTACGCGCCAAACATAATACATTTACAGTATTTGGAATAATTGTTTGAAACTTTAATTCTAAGTAGCATCATGAACAAATATGTCTTTTATTGCTATTGCTATATGTATAACAATTAAAATTTGACGTGTAACAATTTGTAGAAGACGAATTTAGTGATCTCAGCGATCTGGACGACGCACCACCAGTTCGACAAACCAACACACCCAGACGGTCGACCCCGAGCCGAAAAAGACCGGATGTGAATGATATTACTCTATCTGACCTAGAAATGGACAGTGCTTTCCCGCCAAAAACACCAGAGGTGGTCAATCTTACTCAAAAGGTCCTACATCATTATTTTCATAAGAAAATGAGCAGCACACAACGGATTTTCAAGTGGTTAGCTGACTGCGAGGAAAAATCATCGGGCTCGACATTACCAGCGCATTTACCGGATATCACAGTTACATGCAGGCCACACTTACAATCACCTTTATTAAACTGATATAGAGTGTACCTGTTCTTCTGAAAGAGCAACCATCGGAATTATGCATCTGAATTCAAGTTTGATGATTATTGATTCCAAACCAAAATGTCATTAACGTCATATTTTCCAGCATTGTAGAAAGCTTGTCATCCTTTTGCGTAAGAGTATGATTCAGCAAGAAGAGAGAATGACTGAGGCATACCTTCTGAGGTTTAATTCTTGGTCCATGTTTTATTTCAGTAGAGACTGAAGACTTAGAGTCTATTTATCATTTAGTTCAGATCAACAGAACTTCAGCGTATCAAATAGGCGTCGGAACCAGGCCGGGGACTAAGCACCGCCACTTTTTGCAAAAATGGACATAATATGGGTATTACAAATTTTGGCATTGCCCCCATACACGTTTTTTTTTAAATTGAATCTTTAGGCTTGCTTCCGACGTCTATATGTTGGTAGATTTTCTATCGTTATATTTTCGACAATATAGGTAAACGCGCAATAAGAGATTGAAATTGACGACAAGATATGAAGAAAAGTTAAGATAATGCTAGAAAAAAAAAGATTTTCTAGTGCGAGTAAATAATCTTTTTATTCAAAAATTTTCGGATGAAGCTTGGTTAGAAAGGTGAATTACGAAGTGTATTCCAAACCTTTTGCACTTTCGCCCTAATTTAAATGGCCAGATCGATTACTTCTTAAAGTAAGTTTAAATGGCCAGCTTAATTACTTAAAAGGTCAATGGTGCACGTAAATATCACTGCTTATATGCAAGTGATTAATTATATCCATAATTTACATGAAATGTTTTCATGTATTTTTTTTTTACTGTGAAGATTAACAGAATAAAGAATGGTGTAGATAGTTAGACAACATTTGATTCCTTGCATTCGTTAGTTTAAATATATAATACTTTTTTTTTCGAAGATAAAACTTTTCGATTTCGGTTATTTCATTTTTATTTTATATTAAACTTTTGAAATCAGTTAAGCGGTTACCACGAAAAAAGGTAGTTTGCAAGGAATAGGGGAAAGTCTTTAAATTCCTGGGTTTGTTTTTGTTTGTTACAGTGTATTTGTTAAATTGTTTTCAATATGTTGTTATTTTTATGCAAGGTTTGTTTGCCAATGTTCTTCCTTTTTTGTTGTTGTTATAATCAAGAACACAAAGCATCTGTGAAATTTTAAAAAGAAAACATTATAACATTTAACATTATCAAAGGTCATACAAATAGACTAGTCAAAGAAGGCATTTTGGTGTGTGTCAATGTTTTTATTAAGGTCAGCTAAGAGTCTGTATACAGAATCTCTTATATAATTGTTCATATTCTGGATATCTGATGCATCAAACTGTAATTTTGTATTTACATATTATATATACTGTTACTAGTATATAGATGTACATGTATATAGGTGTTTAAACTAATTTGTTCAGGTATCTGTAATGAAATAGCACTTGTTTTTTAAGGCGTTATTCAGTAATAAATTGCTTTATATTGTTTTATAGCTAAAAACGAATTTATTCGGTTATGTATTTCATGCCTACATATCAGACAATTTGAAAAATAAATCATGTCAACAACCCACCAAGATGAAATCAAGTCTTTGTTTGCTTACTTTGACTTTACGTCAGGCATTTAACTTTTTGAAATCGAAGTTAAATCTCATTTTCAGGCCTTATAATCAAGGAAACTAGTATAACAGTAGAATGCAAGCTTTCCAACAGTGCATTTTGAAGAACAATTGCGCATTGAGACAAAACAAAAGATTTTTATTTCATGTTAAACATTTACAAGAATTGATATATTGATTTCAATGTTACAATGTTACATGTTCTAGTTAATGGGATACATTCTAAACAGATTTGTTATCCCACAATGGGAAACCATCAGCAAACAAATCATTGTAAACATTTGGTCATCGGATGACACCTTACCTGGCCTGTATAGACAACTAACTACTATCGAAATAACATGATATAATCGAATTTGGGCAGCAAATATGCTTCTTGAAGCTCCGGTTCTTGACAGTACAAATTTACTGAGCGATCATACTTGAATCAGAACAGAGTTAAAAGCTAGCATACTGTTACCAGTCCTTGTCATTGAGACGTTTTCTGGGTGGGAAACTTCACATGTTGGGATAGCAGCATGTTGTAATTTGTGACCCTCTTGAGGGGTCCAGAGCATCTTCGTTATTGAGTCGCTCGTATAAAACGGACCCCACTGAGCAAAGCAACTTAAAATGATGGAGGGTCTTTCTGATAGTGACCTGTCCTGGTTAGAGAATTACATAAAGTCACAACAAAATGACAGTTTGTCTACCAAAAATAAAGAAAGGAAGCTTGATATTCCGTTTGGACTAAATTTTCAGGAGTTTCACAATACTGAAATATCTCTGCCGATCTATGGGTACGTTACACCTGTGTTATGTGTGATTGTGTTAATAACCAATATTCTTTTTGTGACCGTCTTTGCCAAACTGAAAATGAACTCCCCGACTCACTTCGTGCTTCGCTGTATGGCTGTTGTTGATACCCTGACTATTGTTTTGCCTACACCAACATATATCTATGTATACACCATGAAGAACTATCAAGAATTCATTCCCTTTGAGGTTTGCTATGTTTGGGAGTATATGACCGTTTATCTTCCGACGATCACGCATACAGCCTCGATTTGGTTGACAACACTTCTGGCGGTACAAAGATACATCTGTGTATCGTACCCTCTCAATGTCAGATTATGGTGCGGCATCAAGAGAACTTATTTCTTTGTTATCTTTATTTTCATACTGGCTACTGGCTGCCACCTGAGCAGATTTTTTGAATACCAATTTATCAAAACCAAGGTCCCATCTCTTTTGGATCCCAATAAAGAAGTAACCACATGTTTTCGGTCACCCTCGGACTTTGTCCATGGTGTGTATGTCGTTGCCTATTCGTGGGTTAGAGCAGTTGCTGTGAACATTGTTCCATGTTTGGCAATGATTGTCTTCAGCACAATTATGTTAGTGAGGATTCGTGTGGCAGAGAAACGCAGACGCACGATTCGGCGCAGAAGCACTTTTGGTTCCGGTGAAAACGAACCACGTGACAGTCGGATCACCACATGGTTGGTTATTTTGATTGTAAACAGCGTATGTATTGTAGAGATGCCCATTGCAGCCTTTTACGTGATGGTGGCTACGAACCTAACCAGGGGAGAAAACCCGATCTCGGAGAATTCTCACACGATCGAGATTATTCTGAATTTGCTCGTACAAGTTTCCTATCCGATACATTTCGTGTTGTATTGTACCATGAGTGAAGGGTTCCGCTTTGCTCTTGTTGGAATGTTTGTCAAGACGTGGAGAAAGTTTCAGCAGATTATTGGTAACAGTGATGAAAACAATGGACGAACCTCTAGGTCAATATCTGTTGTGTCCTCTGACACTAGAAGTGTGATTTTTAATACAATCTGATTAAATGTACAAGTGCTGTCTGCACGTATAATATTGAAGATAAATGTCTCTAGTCATCTTGATAATGTTACAAAAATGTACATGTATAATCATTTAATCTGTTCATAATAAAATGTAATTGTTGATTTTTTTTTACCCTTTCTCTTTTTGATCTTATAAAATACAGTTTCATATATCAAAGATGGGGAAGTAATTATTATCATTTAAGGAATGTCTCCCAGATTGAGTTTTTCTGATGAGGAAATGACGTCAGAACAAAAAGTATCATGTTCTCCTTTATTGGTTCTCATGGACTGAAAAATAAATTGGACGTTTATTATGAATAATTAATTTTAAAGATAATTATATTCTTTTTAGGCAAACGAGTAAAATAGGAAATTAATTTCGTTATTGTATATTCAAAAAGATTAATTTAAATAAGCTTAAACAGATTTATAATTAATTAAAGGCTAATTTTAATGCAGCGATAGCACAAATCGTCTGCATTCTATTCACAGGTAAACAAACAAATTTACACTCTGGTGCTAAATGGAACAGCGTTATCGCAGCATGGTGACCTAATTCGTTTCTCTATAGAGAAACGATCAGTCGTATTTTAGAGCGGCTACCACACATAGTAGAATAGAAAAAGGTCCTTGTTGTCGTGAATGTTACAGAATAACCTCCGAATTCTTTTCTCTATAGAGAAACGATCAGTCGTATTTTAGAGCTGCTACCACATGTAGTAGAGTAGAAGAAAGTCCTTGCTGTCGTGAATGTTGCAGAATAACCTCCAAGGTGGAGAAATTTTGTTTGAAATATACCGCTAACGCCTTTGCTTTTATCTTTCAAACAACATTTCTCCACCTCGGAGGTTATTTTGCAACATTTACGGAAACGCGGACTTTATTGCTTAAATATTCATGATATTGCCATTTACATCCTCAGAAAACATATTTTTATATATATTCGTACAATGTATATTGGGGGTATATAGTTTTTGTCGTGTCTTTCAGTCTCTCTTGCTATCTGTTTTGTCTGTTTGTCCGCAAAAACTTTAACTTTGCCCATTACCTTTGATATAGTGGAGCTATGACTTTCATATTTCACATTTGTATTCATTGTGACAATAGCTTTCTTCGGGTACCACCATATTTGACCTTTTGACCTTGGAGTTTGACTTACTTTTACACAAAAATTCCAAACTTTTATTTTGGCTATATCTTTTGAACAGTAGATACCAGGACATTTATACTTCACATATGTATTTTTGTCGAAAGACCTTTCATTGAATACCAACAACTTTGACCTTTTGACCTTGACCTTGAAGATTTCCTTACTTATGAAAAAATCTTAAACCTTGGTCATAACTTTGATTGGTAAGGGCCAGTGCTTCCATACTTCACATGTGCAATTCTTGTGAGAAGACCCTTTATTGAATACCAAGAACTTTGACCCTTTGTCCTTGACCTTGGAGTTTGACATACTTTTAACATGCAAACATTGACCATAACTTCTAAAGGGTTAAGGCTAGTGCTTTCATACATTACATATCTAATTGTTGTGACAAGAACTTTCATTTGATATCAAGAACTTTGACCTTGACGTTTGATCTACTTTTTAAAATTTTAACCTTGGCCATAACTTTTGAAGAGTAATGGCTAGGGCTACCATACTTCACATATATATTCTTTGTGGCAAGACCTTTCGTTGGATACCAATTACCATGGCCTTAACCTTGGAGATTTCAGTACTTATAAAAAACTTTAACGTTAGCTAAGGGATAGTGCTCTTATACTTCATTTATGTAATCCTTGTGAGAATTCCCTTTACTGGATACCAAGAACTTTGACCCTGGAGTTTGACTTACTAGTACTTTAATAAAACCTTGACCTTAACTTTTCAAGGGTTGGGGCTAGTGCTTTCATTCTTTTCATGTTTTAATCTTAGTAACAAGACCTCTAATTGGATATCAAGAATGTTGACCCCTTAACTATGGAGTTTGACCTACTTTTTAAAAATCTTTTGAAGGGTAAGAGCTAGGGCTTCCATACTTCACATATGTATTCTTTGTGGCAAGAACTTTCATTAAATACTAATTACCATGACATTTTGACCTTGACCTCGGAGATTTCAGTAAAGGTAGTGACTGTTCCTTCGCCAAGCGCTCGGCACTAGAAGTGAAAGTCACGGGTCTTTCGGATATGACCTTAAAAACGTAGGTCCCGTGTCACGGTAGGCGCTGGCACGATAAAGAACCCTCACTGCTCAATGGCCCTGAGTGCCGAGTATAGGTCTAAATTTGCAGCCCTTCACCGGCATACGGTGACGTCTCCATATGAGTGAAAAATTCTCAAGAGGGACGTAAAACAATATACAATCAATCAATCTTACAATTTATTGAATTCAGCACATTTCAGGAAGTTTTCAAAATTTGACTTTTGTGGGGGCAAATATATGCAATATACCTGGCACATATAGTTCTTTGCATCTAAGAAAAGTTTAATCTTCAGTATGCTGCCATACGGGGGCATGAGTGTTTCACAAACACATCTTGTTTTTAATAGTATTTGACTATAATTCCAATCTTAATTTTATTTATTGATTCCCTGTTTTTTGATTGGACGAGAACAAATTCAAGAAAAAGTTTACACATCGATGAATTTTTCAATTAGAAGTACTTTCTTGACCTAGCTTCTAGCTAGGCTGTTGTAAAAACAATTAAAACAGATACTTCTAGTCCGTTTAGCTTAATTATAATTGCAAGAAACTTGAAATAAAATAAATTCAAAACAGGAGATAAACAGGACTGATAGACGGGAATAATTATGTTTATGTCACTGTCGGATCACGAGTGTGAATTAAAAAAAAAAATTGCTGATCATGCTGTCATTTTCTCGATGTTCCATATCAGCTCAGTTGGTACCGTATTGTTGTGATAGGGAAAAGAAACGTACCTCAGACTCCTGCCTTATCAGCATCAAATTCATATATTTACATATCCTACAGATCCCATATTCTCCCTAAATCTTTGAACAAACCAGAGCAAATCGAGGACGTCGTCGGTCTGCAACTTTCGCTGTGACGTTGTCGTTAGATCTATAATGTCAACATTGCCATGGTCAAGGACGAATTATTCTGGAGAATACGCGTATTTACGATATTTGTTGACTTAAACAACATTCAATGAGTTTTTATAAGTTTATTTATTGATTGTTTTGACAATTTAAGTTGGATTTTATCGATATTCATCTTGAAAATGTGTCAAATTTGCGGCATAAGTATTCCTACGCCGTACAAAATAACGGATTGTATGGCGGCCTCAAAGAGAAATAATTTTGATAATTCAAAAAATTAGAAATTGGAATTATAAGAATTAAACGTTCTTTTTTCAGAATTTATCGATGTGTAAACTCTGCCTTTTTACTCACAAACTTTACATAAAAGTGCTTCGCACTTTTATTCAGTTTGTGAGTAAAAAGGCAGAGTTTACACATCGATAAATTCTGAAAAAAGAACGTTTAATCCTATAAAGGAAGAAAAAATAAACCCATACCTAATAATACATTTATAGACACTTGACGTTACTTTTTTTTCTTACATGTATAGAAAAATTATAACCCTAAACTAATAATACAATAACTACACTACATATTATGAGGTACGGGTTATTTTATATATATAAGAAAAATAAGAAACGTCAAGTGTCTGTGTACGAAATGATTCCTTTTTCAATATTCATAGGGCTCATGGTGGGTGTGACCGATAGGCACCTGAATGTATCTAACCATCTGTTTTTGTATCAAACGGGAAAAACCCACTTCCCTGAATGTTCATGATAAATTTTAAAAAGTACAATAACAAGAATATGTTCGCTCAAAGTGTAATGTAAATGGAGTTTACTAAGTTTGAATTTGGCGCCATTAGTTGGCAGGTCATGTGACGTCCGCTCTTAGGGTATATAAACGTCACAACGTTGGCGTCAGACATTCAGTATTGGTTTGGCTTCAGAAGCAAAAGGTTGTGTAAGGTAAGGAATTATAGGTAAGTCAACAGTTTCCCATAAGAGAACGTGGATCAAGCATCCTTACTCTCGCGGGAAAAGCTCGACTAGTCCTCAGTGGACAAACATTTAAAAAGAATAAGTTTCTTTAAGTGTTAAGTGTTGAGTAGCCGAGTACTCATTTGTTGAGCACTCGTGAGAGCGGAAGGTTTTACTCATTAGTTGAGTAGTATTCTGAGTATTGTAAGTTTGTATATAGTTAGCATATCTTAGGTAGTATATTTTTTATAGTGATTTTTAACAGTGATTTGTTTTGTTAGGTAATTTAGGGTAATCATTTTATTTTATATGAGAGGAACTCGTATCGCCTTATTTGTATATTTTGGCAGGCGATTATTTTTAAGTATTATATTTGAGTCTCGGTCTCAGTTTAGTGACTGAGGAATCCAATTCAGAAGAAAACACGTTACATAATTTTTGGTGGCAGTGGTGGGATCTTCAAGACTCGGTTTTGTTTTCTAAAGATGGATAAGAGTTTGGAAGAAATACAAAACGAAATCACTGCTCTTGAAGGACAAATTGAGCAGATAAGGATTGAGAACTCATTTATGAGAGAAACTGGTAGAATTGGCCATTCGACCCCTAAGACGACTCATGCAGTGAGTAATCCAGTAGATGGGCCTGATTCTGGACTAGCTTCGGGGCGTCCTTCCGAGTATGCAGATTTCTCGGGAAGTGAGACTAGTGATCAAGAAGAGTACAGTGGGACCAGGCCTAAAGTTAGATTCTCAACAGCAACAGCGGAGCTGAGAGAAGAAGGAAATTTGGAGTCTAGAGTGAGAAACTCAGAAGAAAGGAGAAGAACAAGTAGTTTGGAGGAGTTCCCAAAGCTGGAAGAAAATGAGAGTCGCCCATATGTACCGAGAAGAGAAAACGGCATAACGATGAGGCAAAATCGATCACGTGAGAAGAACAGAACAAGTGATAAACAAGGACCGAAATCCGACTCAACAGATAA